GTATTACAGTGTTGTTATTATTAGTATTACAGTGTAGTTATTATTAGTATTACAGTGTTGTTATTATTAATATTACAGTGTTATTATTAGTATTACAGTGTTGTTATTATTAGTATTACAGTGTTGTTATTATTAGTATTACAGTGTTGTTATTATTAGTATTACAGTGTTGTTATTATTAGTATTACAGTGTTGTTATTATTAGTATTACAGTGTTGTTATTATTAGTATTACAGTGTTGTTATTATTAGTATTACAGTGTTATTATTATTAGTATTACAGTGTTGTTATTATTAGTATTACAGTGTTGTTATTATTAGTATTACAGTGTTGTTATTATTAGTATTACAGTGTTGTTATTATTGGTATTACAGTATTTATTTAGTATTAGTATTACAGTGTTGTTATTATTAATATTAGTGTTGTTATTATTAGTATTACGGTGTTGTTGTTATTGACATTACGGTGTTGTTGTGTGGTATTTACAGTGTTGTTATTATTAGTATTGCAGTGTTGTTATTATTAGTATTACAGTGTTGTTATTATTAGTATTACAGTGTAGTTATTAGTATTACAGTGTTGTTATTAGTATTACAGTGTTGTTAGTAGTATTACAGTGTTGTTATTATTAGTATTACAGTGTTGTTATTAGTAGTATTACAGTGTTGTTATTATTAATATTACAGTGTTGTTATTATTAGTATTACAGTGTTGTTATTATTAGTATTACAGTGTTATTATTATTAGTATTACGGTGTTGTTATTAGTATTACGGTGTTGTTATTATTAGTATTACAGTGTTGTTGTTATTAGTATTACAGTGTTGTTATTATTAGTACTACAGTGTTGTTATTATTAGTATTACAGTGTTGTTATTATTAGTATTACAGTGTTGTTATTATTAGTATTACAGTGTTGTTATTATTAGTATTACAGTGTTGTTATTATTAGTATTACAGTGTTGTTATTATTAGTATTACAGTGTTGTTATTATTAGTACTACAGTGTTGTTATTATTAGTACTACAGTGTTGTTATTATTAGTATTACAGTGTTGTTATTATTAGTATTACAGTGTTGTTATTATTAGTATTACAGTGTTGTTATTATTAGTATTACAGTGTTGTTATTATTAGTATTACAGTGTTGTTATTATTAGTATTACAGTGTTGTTATTATTAGTATTACAGTGTTGTTATTATTAGTATTACAGTGTTGTTATTATTAGTATTACAGTGTTGTTATTATTAGTATTACAGTGTTGTTATTATTAGTATTACAGTGTTGTTATTATTAGTATTACAGTGTTGTTATTATTAGTATTACAGTGTTGTTATTATTAGTATTACAGTGTTGTTATTATTAGTATTACAGTGTTGTTATTATTAGTATTACAGTGTTGTTATTATTAGTATTACAGTGTTGTTATTATTAGTATTACAGTGTTGTTATTATTAGTATTACAGTGTTGTTATTATTAGTATTACAGTGTTGTTATTATTAGTATTACAGTGTTGTTATTATTAGTATTACAGTGTTGTTATTATTAGTATTACAGTGTTGTTATTATTAGTATTACAGTGTTGTTATTATTAGTATTACAGTGTTGTTATTATTAGTATTACAGTGTTGTTATTATTAGTATTACAGTGTTGTTGTTATTAGTATTACAGTGTTGTTATTATTAGTATTACAGTGTTGTTATTATTAGTGTTACAGTGTTGTTATTATTAGTGTTACAGTGTTGTTATTATTAGTATTACAGTGTTGTTATTATTAGTATTACAGTGTTGTTATTATTAGTATTACAGTGTTGTTGTTATTAGTATTACAGTGTTGTCATTATTAGTATTACAGTGTTGTTATTATTAGTATTACAGTGTTGTTATTATTAGTATTACAGTGTTGTTATTATTAGTATTACAGTGATGTTATTATTAGTATTACAGTGTTGTTATTATTAGTATTACAGTGTTGTTATTATTAGTATTACAGTGTTGTTATTATTAGTACATATGTTGTTATTATTAGTAATACAGTGTTGTTATTACAGTATTACAGCGTTGTCATTATTAGTATTACAGTGTTGTTATTATTAGTATTACAGTGTTGTTATTATTAGTATTACAGTGATGTTATTATTAGTATTACAGTGTTGTTATTATTAGTATTACAGTGTTGTTATTATTAGTATTACAGTGATGTTATTATTAGTATTACAGTGTTGTTATTATTAGTATTACAGTGTTGTTGTTATTAGTATTACAGTGTTGTTGTTATTAGTATTACAGTGTTGTTATTATTAGTATTACAGTGTTATTATTATTACTACAGTATATGTCGGTGTACAAGGCCACGGGGTGTATAAGACGACCCCCAAATGTGACACTGACCACTGGGAGCTTACCGCTCCAGTAGTCCTTTACCAACCATCCCACTGAGTGATGCTGTTAAACACACTGCTAAGGAACACATCCTTGGTTATTTAATATAAGGCCAATTAACTTCAAGTAATGGCATCAGCCGGTGTAGTGTAAACACCATTGACGTCGCTTAGGCGTCTTCTGGAACTAACATCGGTGTCGAGTAAAATTTGACCATTTACAGTGATCCCTCGGTTAACGAGCGCCCCGGTTAACGAGATTTTGCTTAACGAGTTACCTCCCATAATATTTTTAACTTCGGTTAACGAGCATTCCCTCGATTAACTAACTCCTTACGAGCGTCCCTCAACGTGTTTTCGCTTGCACACTAGCTGTCGTATTAGTCCGCCAATACAGTAATCGGTTCTAGGGTTTTAATTCTTTACAATTTTAGTAAATATCAAGAAGTTTGTACTATTCAATAATTTTAAAAGTCTTACCGTATATACTCGTCTATACAGTAATTCTACCTTGTTTATAGGTCGACCCTGATTTTTTGACCAAGAAATCATTAATTTATGATATGCCTCGTTTGTAGGTCGACCCAAGTTTTTGAGGGTAATGGAACAGCAAAACCTTCACTAAAAACACTACGTCCTATAAACTGAGGTTCGCTGTGCCTGAAACACTGAGCGCCGAAGGCAAATTGTTTACCATTATTACGACACTTTACGCTGAAACGCGGGTAGTTTCCGCAAAAATATTGTATACTTCCATTCAAGTATTTATTCAAGTCAATTAGAATAGAATATTATTGTAATACAACAGTTTTTTTTTAACTGAAAACCATTCGATAAACACGTGTACCGTGATACTCAACAGCTGGTGGTGCGTCGTGCATCGTTGTAAACAATATGAGGTTGAGGTGGATTACCGGGTATTGTATTAAGTGTGAAATATCGAAAAGGTTTTTATTACTGGTAATTTTTGTAGATCAATGAGTACTGTGATACCGTATATGACATGATAAGTTAGCCTGTGCTAAGAACTTCAACATAGACTACTGAAAGCATGTTGTAAGGTAATTTAGCCTATTGTAAGTTGGTGAGCTTCATCTGCTGAAGGAACTGCACAACTTTTCATTACTAATTGGTACATATTTTACATTTCTATTGTTTACTGGCAGTAAATGGTAAATATTTTTCATGTCAACAGTTGCTCCTCGCCCGTCCTATCATGCACGGGTTCAACCTAACAAAACTATTACCCATGTAGAGGTCGACCCCCAATTTTTTGCCTAAAAATTTGGTCTTAAAAACTCGAACTACACACGAGTATATACGGTATATTAAAATTTTTAGTCATTTTAACAATTATTTAACATAATTTAAGTACAGGGAAACCAGTTTTTAGCGCACCAAACAGCCTGTCAACACACCATACAGGCGTCAGTCTCTGTGTCTTTTCAGTGGAGGTTACATCTTGCTTCAGACTCTCTCTAACATAAATGTTTTTTTCTGTGTTTCCAGTCAAATTATTGGTCATTTTGAAATATATTTTACATATTGACAATATATAATGCAGTGCAGTGTTGATTTAAAGAAAATAATCTTGAATTACACCAAGAGAGCTAAAATTTTATGGGTGAAATGGCGGCATGGGGTGACTTCTCTTCTCCCTTCTCCTCCACCCCCATTCTAATTCCCATCATCATCATCATCAATCAGGAACCTTCTACATACACACCTCAAAGTAAGTGTACTTTACTGCATTTATTTTTAGTTTATATGTAATTTTCGGTGAGCTGGAACCAATTACCCAAAAACCCATTGAAACAATGGTTTCGGTTAACGAGCAACCTTCTGGAACGACTTGTGGTCGTTAACCGAGGGACCGCTGTACTGTACTTGAAATGGATTTACTGATTTATTTGTAGGCAACACTGCAGGTATTATATTTAATTTATAAACTTGCTTCGCGAGACGATCGGTAGGACTGGCCGTTTGTTTACTTCGGCGGCAGTAGCAAATGGCAGGAGGTGCTCGATGATACCTGCGTTTATTAAGTTGTTATTTACGGTTTGTTAGACGGGTTTATAATACATTTTTATTATTTTAATATACCGGTAATCTTATTTTTAATCCAGCTTCCCAAGCGTAAGTTTCAGCAGAAAATAATTAGCGGTAGGACCGTTGGATTAAGGCGAGTGTTTTACGTTGTTCTCCATCGCCACTAAACCACAGGATGTAGAGGTGCGGACTTTATACCCGGCGTTTAAGACGACCCCTAAGTTGAGGCTGATTTTTTAAGGTTCAAATTCCGTCTTATACGCCGACATATACTGTATGAATGTATTATAATTATTGAAACACACAATGATTAATTTCTCAGTACTACTATTATTATTACTACTATTATGACTATTATGCTGGTAGAGACATAGGCTATATGACCCAGATGTATTAAACTTGTTTGTGTGTGTGTGTGTGTGTGTGTGTGTGTGTGTGTGTGTGTGTGTGTGTGTGTTCGCTCGAAGTTATCGTTTATAACAACTAAAACATACTTGTGGTGTCATGACTTATATAAAAAAATGTGAAGTGTGTTATCCAAAATTACATTACAGAATTTGTTACATAATACAGTAGAATAATTTAAGAGAGAGAGTATTATTGGAGGGAACTCACAGCCAGGCAGAATATTCTAACGAGTCCATCATAACAAGTGGCAATTAACCGCCCCTTGTAGATGCTGAGACAAGAGACGTCCGCCTCGCTCGCCAAGTGACCCCGACTGTTGCCCGTCTGTGAAGGAGAAACGAGCGTTAGTTTATGTCTGGTAATTTGTGACGGCTGTTAGCAAGGAGTGGCCATCGTTAGTGAGGACGGTGGACATTGTTAGTGAGGATGGTGGCCATAATGAAGTGTGAGGATGGTGGCCATAATGAAGTGTGAGGATGGTGGCCATAGTGAAGTGTGAGGACGGTGGCCATAGTGAAGTGTGAGGATGGTGGCCATAGTGAAGTGTGAGGATGGTGGCCATAGTGAAGTGTGAGGATGGTGGGTGAAGGGGATTAATCCTAACTGTAAGAGATTTCACCAGGTTTAGAGAAAGAGTTGACTGATTTCACTGAAGGAAGGAAGGAAGGAAGGAAGGAAGGAAGGAAGGAATTGAAAATAATTTGGTACAGTAATTATCAAGAGGTCAGGTGAAAGAGTCTACAGTGTAGATAGTGGTGATGATGGTGGTGATAATAATGGTAATAATTATGGTGGTGGTAACGATGGCAGTGGTGACAGTAGCGGCAAATAACGATGACGACAACAATAACAATGCCGATGGCCACACCCAAATAAGGTACATTAATTAGCTAGCTTAACGATCAAACGACGCTCACCGTAAAGTCATAGTAGACAATGGCCTTGTTTGACCCGCCGGTGTACAGTAGTCCCCCATGCGAGACCGTTGCGTACACTGTCAGTTGTATGTGTTCCAGCGTCCGTAAAAACAAACCTGCGGCAAACACATATTTACATTAGACACGAATCCTCTTATTGGTGGATTTACTTAAGGTTAGGTTAGGTTTGGTTTTGGTTAGGTTGGGTTTGGTTTGGTTAGGTTTGGTTAGGTTAGGTTCATTTTACACTTACACACCATCACCCTTTCTACACTCACCAGACATAGCGTCCCGGATCATAAGAGGAGTCGTCTTGGCCGCCACCAGCAGCACGCGCCTCCCTCCCTCTGTCATGGCCTTCAGGCTAGTGAGAGCTTTGCCGCAGTACTGTACCATCTCAGTTACACCTTTGTCCTGGGGGTGCGGGTGGGGGGTGGGGGGGTTAATTGGTTCGTTTTATCACCAACAAAGCACAAGACTTGTATAATATAATTCATCACGAAAAAAAAATGTATAATTATTAACTATGTCTCAATTAGAATTATGGTTTAGTTGCGATTTTTTTCTCATTTGTTATTCATTCATTTCTTACCTTCTTACAACGCGCGCGCACACACGCGCGCGCACACACACACACACACACACACACACACACACACACACACCTGTACCTTTCCTCACCTTAAAGTTCCATCTGGCACCACACCCTCCTTCAGTACCCAGGAACACTTGACCCCAGGATATGTCTAGGCAGCGAACTCCCTCCCCGACGTCACATCTCTGTTTCACTTCTCCCGTCTACCACGGATCACCGAGAGGGAATAACACTGTTAGAGGCGAAGGCAACTGTGTGGCGGTTATTACAGAGCGTCGTACAGTCCACACCAACTTGTAAATAAATCAATATCAACTGTTTTAAGGCAGTTTCTTCGCATGATTTATGACAAACAATCACATACAGTACAGACAACATAGGCCTAAACAAAAGTAACGTAGGCCTAAATAAACAAACACAGTGTAAGGAAAGACTCGTTACCCTGCCGTTGAATATACACATGGTCTTGTCGGCCGACCCGGTCACCACCTGAAATTCCGGCGACTCGGGACTAAAGCCAGGCTTGCCGACCACCCCGACGCAGGTCACTATGTCCGTGTGGTCGACGTATGAGGTCATGACCCGACCCGACGCCATGTCGTAGCATCTGGCGGTGCCATCACTTGATGCCGTCACCACGAAGTCTCCAACAACCTGGTGAAAATATTGCACACCATTAACCCTTAACTGGTGTAAATATTGTACACTATTAACCCTTAACTGGTGTAAATATTGTACACCATTAACCCTTAACTGGTGAAAATATTGTACACTATTAACCCTTAACTGGTGTAAATATTGTACACCATTAACCCTTAACTGGTGTAAATATTGTACATTATTAACCCTTAACTGGTGTAAATATTGTACACCATTAACCCTTAACTGGTGTATATATTGTACACTATTAACCCTTAACTGGTGTAAATATTGTACACCATTAACCCTTAACTGGTGTAAATATTGTACATTATTAACCCTTAACTGGTGTAAATATTGTACACTATTAACCCTTAACTGGTGTAAATATTGTACACCATTATCCCTTAACTGGTGTAAATATTGTACACCATTAACCCTTAACTGGTGTAAATATTGTACACTATTAACCCTTAACTGGTGTAAATATTGTACACCATTATCCCTTAACTGGTGTGAAAATATTGTACACCATTAACCCTTAACTGGTGTAAATATTGTACACCATTAACCCTTAACTGGTGTAAATATTGTACACCATTAACCCTTAACTGGTGTAAATATTGTACACCATTAACCCTTAACTGGTGTAAATATTGTACACCATTAACCCTTAACTGGTGTAAATATTGTACACCATTAACCCTTAACTGGTGAAAATATTGTACACCATTAACCCTTAACTGGTGTAAATATTGTACACCATTAACCCTTAACTGGTGTAAATATTGTACACCATTAACCCTTAACTGGTGTAAATATTGTACACCATTAACCCTTAACTGGTGTAAATATTGTACACCATTAACCCTTAACTGGTGTAAATATTGTACACCATTAACCCTTAACTGGTGTAAATATTGTACACCATTAACCCTTAACTGTCATTACTGTATCACCTTCACCTCACACACTTCAAAATTCTGATATGGTAACATCTCTCCGTCACACACACACACACACACACACACTCTTACACACACACACACTCTTACACACACAAATCGTCCGAACTGATGCTAATTATCCCGGTCTTTTATATAGACTGTATTGGACCTCTGGTGAACAGCGGGCGGTCAGGAGCACCACACAGTGTCCAATAATTTTTTTTTGGCGTTGTGTTGAGGTTCTAGAATACAATGAATATTACCAGAGTGTAAAGCCACAGGAGAATTACAGTAACATCTCCGTTAGCCGGGATATCCATCAAACCCGGAACTCTCCGATGGCCGGAATTGAAATTTTCTTGGAAAATCGTTCCCAAAGCCGGAGTTTTCTGGAAAATTTTCCCGACATCCGGAAAATTCTGGGGATTGCAGAGTTTTTTCCGGGTTTGAGAGTCGTCTCGTTACCCAGAAATCTGTCATTCCCGGAAGTGTTCAGCACCAATTGACCCGGATAAGGAGACATAACTGTATCCAGAAAATAATGATGTGTTATGTTACATTACTAATCATATGTTGTTATTATATGTTATACTATTAACCATAAGTCACTTTACCTTAATGTCCAGGACAGCACAGCCATGGGCCGGGGGGTTGACAAACACGTGCTCGTCTCCGGAACTCTCCATCGCCTCGTCCGCGTCGATGCCGTTCTCCGCAGCGTCTTTCCCGGGAGTGGCGAGGGAGCCGTCGGTCGAGGACGCGGCCGGCAACTTCCTGCCGGCGGGGGAGGACTTGTCGCTCTTCTCCGGCAGTTTCTTCTTCTTCCTCTTGTTTACTCTGTGTCTCTTGGTCTTGCGTTTGCGTTTTCTCTTCTTCTCTTCTCCGCCCTCCTCCGTGCCCTCCGGGTTGGGCGATATCCGGAAGTCCTCGTCCTCCCTCTCCCTCTCGTCGTCCGCGTGGTCCTCTTCTCCGACCTTCTCGATCTTCTCCGGCGCGGTCTTGTTGGAGTTCTCGTCCGGCGAGTCGTTATTGGTCTCTGCGCTGCCCGGCGGCTTGTGTTTGATCTTGCTGGGCGGTCCTCTCGACCTCAAGCTGTAGCAGTGTTCCCCCGAGGTCGACCTCAAGGCGTGGCAGTGTTCGCCGGAGGAGTTTCTCGACTTCTGACCGTCCGGGGACGAGGAGGGGGAGGACGAACAGCTCTTTCTGGGGGTCGCCACAAACTCCTCCTTGTCCGTCGTCCGGCTCGTCTCCCCAAAGCTCGTCGTCCGCGACGTTTCGGCCGGCGTCGGTTCCCGTCGGGTTGCGTTGGACTCCGCGGCGCCGGGGTCCCGGTACGTCCGGGGCGACCGCGCCCGGCGGTTTGCCCCCGAAGACCCGTATTTCCGACACGTCTCGGGCGGGGATCTGTCCGGGAAGGTTTTGGCGGACGAGGGTTCCCGACCGGACTCGGAGGAACCCGGGCCCCGGGAACACTCCAGTTCCTCTCCTTCTCTCTGGAGTTCTCTGTCAACTGTTCCTCTACGGTCGAGTCGTTCGCTCTCCTCCTCCCGCGGTTTATCTAATGACAGTTCTTCGCTCTCTCCCCGTGAAGACTCGTTGTCCATCTTGTCCGGCCGTTGGGAGGAGTCCACTACGTCTTCACCGTCGTCGGTGGACATGTGTCGCCCGTGTCTCTCCTCTTCGTCGCGGTCCACCGCCACTTCGCTCTCTACGTCGCCTTCGGCGGAGCTGGAGACGGAGTCGCTTCTGTTTCTGCTCGTCGCCTCTCGCGCATCTTCCCGGTAGAAGGCGTTGGCCTCGGAACTCTCAACGGGAGCCTCCGGGACCTTGGCGTCGTTGTCCGTCTCCGAGTCGGTGTTAGATATGGACCGCTGCAGTTTGTGGATGTTACTCGCTATCTGTTGATAAAATTCTTCGTTGGGATTAATGGGTCCCAGGTAGGTGATCTGGAGAGTTTCTTTGGACTTGTGACTTCTACTACCCGGAGAGTGACATGTGGAGGTACATCTCTGTCTTCTCACGGACTGAGATTCGTTGCTGGAGTCGTTGGACGACGTGTGAGAGAAGCTGAAGGAGCGAACCCTCGGACCTTTTTCCTGAGACGACGAGACGACCGAGGCGTTGTCCGTCGTGGACTGCACCCGCACGTCCTCTTTGGACACGCCGTACCGAAGGGAGATGTTTTCGATGTTGTACGTGGCGGTGGAGTTACCGGCATCCGCGGGGTCGCCGCCGTCGGAACTGGAGTCGCGACGGGTCCTCGGGTCGCCGCCGCAGGGTCCTCTCAATGCCGGAGGTTCGCCCCTCGGCACCGTCGCGCCGCCCTGCTTCACCAGCTGCTGCAGCTTCCCTATACGGAGGTGCTGCAGCCGTCCCAGCTCCTCCGTCATGCGCTTCTTCTCTCTCATCAGTTCGTGTATCTCCTGGTCGATGTTTTCCAGGTGACGGACGAACTCTGTCTCCTGTTCGCTGAAGACCATCATCTGTTGTAGAGCAATTCCTGTATCTTGACTGAACTCAAAATCACTTAAGGAGTTTGATATTGAGGTGAGCTGACTGAGATGGTTTCTGGGTCGACCCGTTCTGTGCCACCACCAGCCTTTACCTCTACTCTTGCCCCGCTGCTCCCACACTCCTCCTAGGTCGTCGGTGCTGGTACTCTGGTCCACCTTGATGGTCACTAATGGAGTCACGCTTCTGGCCAGACTCAGGTTAGGAACGTATTGTCTTTTATTGTTGTTGTTGTTGTTGCCACCTTGGTCGCAGGGGGGGAGGGGCCGCTCCTTCTCCGTCTGCACGCCGACGGTCACTCTCGTGTCGGAGGCCCCGGCGCGCGGAGAAGCCGGCGGAGCAAAGTGGCCGGGAAGACTCTGGTGCGGGGTTCTGGCCCGCGAGGCACAGGGGGACGGGGGTTCCATTTTGTACACGTGAGGCGTGGGTCTCCTCTCCGTCGTGGGCTGCGGGGTTGTTCCGTTGCGTCGTGACGGTGGCCGCATCTCGGCACTGTGCGTGCTGCTGCGCTCGCACTCGTTCCTCATGCAGCAGCACATAAACTGGACAGGGGTGTGACGCTCTACCTTAATGCGCGGACTGAACTGCGGGGGCGGCGGCGGGGGCGGCCGGGGAGGATCGGGGAAGTCGTCGTCGGGAGAGAATATGAGCGGTCTGAGGTGAGGGATGGAGTGAAGCACCGAGGGATCCGACGGCAGGGCGTCAGGAGGAGCAGGGTTCTTGGGACGCTCTTCTGAGGACGGTCGCTTTACATGTTCATACTTGAGATATGAATCTGTGGAGAACATAAAGGACATTAAGTACAGTAATTAATACACATACAGTACAGTACAGTATAGTATAATACAGTATAGTGGTCCCTCGGTTAACGAATGCCTAGGTTAACGAAATGCCTCCCATAAGATTCTTAAATTCGGTTAACGAACAAAAATTCGGTCAACGAATTTCTTACGAACCGACCTCAACATGTTTTCGCTTGCACTGGCCGGTCAACCAGCTTTAGTATTAGTCCGCCAATACATTAATCGGTTCTAGGGCTTAAATTCCTTACTATTTTAGTAAATATCAAGAAGTTTATACTATTCAATAATATTAAAAGTTAAATATTAACTTTTTTAGTCATTTTAACAATTATTGAACATAATTGAAGGTAAAGAAACTAGTTTCTGGCGTGCCATCCAGCCTGTTAACACACCAGACAGGCGTTAGTCTCTCTCTGTTTTCACTGGAGGTAACATCTTGCTTGAGACTCTTCAACTAAACACTTTTTTTCTGTGTTTCCAAGCAAATTATTGGTCATTTTGAAATATATTTTACATATTGACAATATATAATGCAGTGCAGTGTTGATTTAAAGAAAATAATCTAGAAATACACCAAGAGAACTAAAATTTTATGGGTGAAATGGTGCCATGGGGTGACTTCTCTTCCACCCCAATGCCTTCTCTTCTTCCTCCTCCTCCACCTCCCACTTCAAATGCACATCATCATCATCATCCAGGAGCCTTCTACATACCCACCTCAGAGTAAGTGAACTTTTCTACCATTTTTGTTGAATTTAGGCAATTTTCGGTGAGCTGGAACCAATTACCCAAAAACCCATTGAAACAATGGTTTCGGTTAACGAACAACCTGCTGGAACGGATTGTGTTCGTTAACCGAGGGACCACTGTATATAGAACAGGTATAAGAAGCTGGTTTACACCTACAATATACTGTATGGTTCACTGCTTTATATTAATTTGACCTTTGGAGTAAATAACCCAACATAAATTATAAAACATAATAATATTGATCAATGTTAATAATTAGAGAGAGAGAGAGAGAGAGAGAGAGAGAGAGAGAGAGAGAGATTCTATTATTGGTAAAGACTGATGGCAGCAGCTGTACTGACCATCACACTTCTCCTGCTTGATAGATCTCTGGTAGTGAGTGGATGAGAGTGGGACGGCAGGTGGTGGTGGGTGCTGGGCAGTAGGTAGGTGAGGGACTGGTCTCTGGGGCGGTGTGGTGCCCAGTGGTCGTGGCGGGCTGGGCATCAGGGGCACCGGTGACGGGGGAGCCAGACCGTAGGGGTACACGCACTCTGAGGTGTGAGGAGTCCGTGGGTTGTGCATACACAGTCCGCACTCACTGATGGGTGATGGACGCTCTTCCTTAACCTGGTGAACAACTCTCTATTAACAACCTGACTAACTTAACAACATGGCCTTAACAACCTAACTATCTTAACAACATGGCCTTAACAACCTGACTATCTTAACAACATGGCCTTAACAACCTAACTATCTTAACAACATGGCCTTAACAACCTGACTATCTTAACAACATGGCCTTAACAACCTGACTATCTTAATAACATGGCCTTAACAACCTAACTATCTGAATAACATGGCCTTAACAACCTAACTATCTTAATAACATGGCCTTAACAACCTGACTATCTTAACAACCTGACTAACTTAACAACATGGCCTTAACAACCTAACTATCTTAACAACATGGCCTTAACAACCTGACTATCTTAACAACATGGCCTTAACAACCTAACTATCTTAACAACATGGCCTTAACAACCTGACTATCTTAACAACATGGCCTTAACAACCTGACTATCTTAATAACATGGCCTTAACAACCTAACTATCTGAACAACATGGCCTTAACAACCTAACTATCAGAATAACATGGCCTTAACAACCTAATTATCTGAACAACATGGCCTTAACAACCTAACTATCTGAATAACATGGCCTTAACAACCTAACTATCTTAATAACATGGCCTTAACAACCTAACTATCTTAATAACATGGCCTTAACAACCTGACTATCTTAACAACATGGCCTTAACAACATATCTTAACAACAGGGTCTTAACAACTTATCTTAATAACATGGCCTTAACAACCTAACTATCTTAATAACATGGCCTTAACAACCTAACTATCTTAATAACATGGCCTTAACAACCTAACTATCTTAATAACATGGCCTTAACAACCTGACTATCTTAACAACATGGCCTTAACAACCTAACTATCTGAATAACATGGCCTTAATAACCTAACTATCTTAATAACATGGCCTTAACAACCTATCTTATTAACATGGCCTTAACAACCTAACTATCTTAATAACATGGCCTTAACAACCTGTCACACCCAACCATGTTACTGCTCCTCTTCCCATATCAAGAAGCGCTCAACATACTGACCCTCTCTGACCATCACCACGACCTCATCTACAAATTTGGTAAGAAGCTTCTACACCATCCTCGACACCGGCTCCTACTACCACCTGAGATCCCTCGCCCGAGAATTGCTGTTCGACACCACAACCGCATCCAGCCCAAACGAGCACGAACTGATCGCTATAAGAACAGCCCAGTCCCAACCATTGTAAAAATTATCAACAACTTGTAATCAACCAGTGTATTCACTCCCAGTCAATCTTACCTTTTGTACAGTCACTATGTTGAACTGGCCTGTAGTGTGACCTTCTCCCCACTACCTTTTGTACTGTCACTATGTTGAACTGGCCTGTAGTATGACCTTCTCCCCACTACCTTTTGTACAGTCACTATGTTGAACTGTCCTGTAGTATGACCTTCTCCCCACTACCTTTTGTACAGTCACTATGTTGAACTGTCCTGTAGTATGACCTTCTCCCCACTACCTTTTGTACAGTCACTATGTTGAACTGGCCTGTAGTATGACCTTCTCCCCACTACCTTTTGTACAGTCACTATGTTGAACTGGCCTGTAGTATGACCTTCTCCACTACCTTTTGTACAGTCACTGTTGAACTGGCCTGTAGTATGACCTTCTCCTACCTTTGTACTGTCATATGTTGAACTGGCCTGTACCTTTTGTACAGTCACTATGTTGAACTGGCCTGTAGTATGACCTTCTCCCCGCTACCTTTTGTACTGTCACTATGTTGAACTGGCCTGTAGTATGACCTTCTCCCCACTACCTTTTGTACTGTCACTATGTTAGACTGGCCTGTAGTATGACCTTCTCCCCTACCTTTTGTACTGTCACTATGTTGAACTGGCCTGTAGTATGACCTCCCCCACTACCTTTTGTACAGTCACTATGTTGAACTGGCCTGTAGTATGACCTTCTCCCCACTACCTTTTATACTGTCACTATGTTGAACTGGCCTGTAGTATGACCTTCTCCCCACTACCTTTTGTACTGTCACTATGTTGAACTGTCCTGTAGTATGACCTTCTCCCCACTACCTTTTGTACAGTCACTATGTTGAACTGTCCTGTAGTATGACCTTCTCCCCACTACCTTTTGTACAGTCACTATGTTGAACTGGCCTGTAGTATGACCTTCTCCCCACTACCTTTTGTACAGTCACTATGTTGAACTGGCCTGTAGTATGACCTTCTCCCCACTACCTTTTGTACTGTCACTATATGTTGAACTGGCCTGTAGTATGACCTTCTCCCCCACTACCTTTTGTACTGTCCTGCTCTTGAACCTTTGGCCTGTAGTATGACCTTCTCCCCCACTACCTTTTTTATTTACCAGTCACTACTCTGTTGAACTGGCCTGTAGTATGACCTTCTCCCCACTACCTTTTGCAGTCATGAACTGGCCTGTAGTATGACCTTCTCCCCACTACCTTTTGTACTGTCACTATGTTGAACTGGCCTGTAGTGTGACCTTCTCCCCACTACCTTTTGTACTGTCACTATGTTGAACTGGCCTGTAGTATGACCTTCTCCCCACTACCTTTTGTACTGTCACTATGTTGAACTGGCCTGTAGTATGACCTTCTCCCCACTACCTTTTGTACAGTCACTGTGTTGAACTGGCCTGTAGTATGACCTTCTCCCCACTATCTTTTGTACAGTCACTTGTTGAACTGGCCTGTAGTATGACCTTCTCCCCACTACCTTTACATACTGTCACTATGTTAGACTGGCTATAGTATGACCTTCTCCCCACTACCTTTTTGTACTGTCATGACCTTCTCCCCACTGTTGTCACTTGTTGAACTGGCCTGTAGTATGACCTTCTCCCCACTACCTTTTGTACAGTCACTATGTTGAACTGGCCTGTAGTATGACCTTCTCCCCACTACCTTTTGTACTGTCACTATGTTGAACTGGCCTGTAGTATGACCTTCTCCCCACTACCTTTTGTACTGTCACTATGTTGAACTGGCCTGTAGTATGACCTTCTCCCCACTACCTTTTGTACTGTCACTATGTTGAACTGACCTTTAACCTTGCAGGGGCCAGCAGTATTGAACTAGGTCCAGGGATGTTTTCACCCCCTGGTCTCTGGTCACTTAACGGAGGCTGGCCAGAACCCATCAGGTTGAGTGTGGCATCGGAGACCTGGCTACCTAGCTCTCTGGTGCTGCTGGGGCCACTGGCTAGGGTCTCCATGACGCACAGCGGGACTTCTACGGAGATCGGAGGCAACATCTGCAGAGGAGCGCCCGCAGGTTTGTTGCCGGTGGGAGGCGTCGGAGGTTCTCTCTTGCCTATGGGAGGTCTGGAGTCGCCGGTCTCCGCCGTCACCGGAGATACTGAAACCTGGTGCTGTACTCGCTCCTCCTCTTCCTCTTCCTCTTCCTCCTCCTCCACCTCCTCCTCATCTTCATTTTCCTCCTCGTCCTCCTGTTCTTCGTCCTCCTCGTGCTCTCCGCCCCCTCGTTCGTGATCGTCCTCCTCCTGTTCGCTGTCTCCGTGAATCAGATCTTCCATCTCCGAATCCGAGTCGTGGATGGTGATGGTGGAGGCCGGGTCGCGGGGGGGAGGTGATATGATCTGACAGTCCAGGTCGGGGTCAGAGTCAGCGTTAAGGAGGTCACTGAGGGAGAGAGACACCTCTTCCCACGCCCGACTGTTGCCGTTCTGTTCCAGCGCCAAGATTTCCCGAACCTAAAACAAAAACAACAACATTAATTTCCCCGTTATTGACAGAAACAGTCCGTGATTTATTTTTGAGAGAGAGAGAGAGAGAGAGAGAGAGAGAGAGAGAGAGATCATTCCCATACAATTTTTTTTAAGAAATACAACAAAAAATTTAAAATAAATAAAATCTCTGTATACGAGGATGGCCTTCATTGCTTCAACATAAATAAACCTAAATAAATAAAAACTAAAGAAAACTAAATAAATAAAAAAAAAAAAAAAAAAAAAAATAAAACAATAAAAATGAAATACAGTAGAAGTCCAAAAATCCGGACTGCTTGGGGATTGGGTCGGTCCGGATTTTCGGATTTTCCGGATTCTCAGGCAGTACTTTTAAAATTCAAATTTAATGAAGAATAAAGAAGAAATGAACAGGTACATTTTGATAGTTTATTCATTTGCAAATATAGCATGCTTCATTTATCAAAACGAGCAGTTTTAATGAAAAAGCTGTGAATTCTAAATTTTATTCTTTGCCTTTTATATATCATAAATTGTAGACTTTCCAATGTCGTATGTTTCCATTAGAACAGTATTGCTCACACCACGATCTAGTTTCTTAATTATTTCAAGTTTGTCACTCAATTTCAATGTGTTCTTCTTTCTCTTCACACAACGAAGTTTATCTACTTTAGGAGCCATTATTATGGGCTTGTACAGTACTCTGTAAATGGAAAGAGTAGGACTCAAAATATTGTTATATTACAATGGTATTCTATTCATACTGTGCTTGATATAATGCATTCACGGAAATGTAATATTTTTGCTGAACGTACGTATTACAGTGGAAAGTGGGATAAAATCGTGATGAAAACAATGACTTTCGCTTTCTTTCGTTCAAAAGATGTTACCGTAATCGCTTTTCGAATGGTTTTCAGTTCAAAAACTGTTGTATTACAATAATATTCTATCCTAATTGACTTGAATAAATACTACGATACCATATTTCTGAATATTTTCATTAAAATCCATCAAAATCATTTTCCTTGTCATCGTCTGCAGCACCAAACAGCTTCTCCCAGTCCTCTCTTTGAACAGGGCTAGAGGGTACGTGTTTTTCGAATCGTTTTCAGTTAAAAAACTATTACATCACTCGTCTATTTTACCTAAACTGCGCCTGAATGAATATATTCTCGGAGATAAATAGTAGTTTTGTGGAAACGTGACGTATTTCAATGTAAAATAGGATAAAATACATGACGAAAACAAAAGACTTTACCTAAGCTTCCGATGTTCTTGAGATGTTACTCGTTTTTTTAATAGTTTTCGGTTAAAATTCTGATATATTACAATGATATTCTATTCATACTGTGCTTGATATAATACATTCACGGAAATGTAATATTTTTCCTGAAATTACATACGTATTACAGTGGAAAGTGGGATAAAATCATGACGAAAACAATGACTTTCGCTTTCTTTCGTTCAAAAGATGTTACCGTAATCGCTTTTCGAATGGTTTAGTTTAAAAACTGTTGTATTTCAATAATATTCCCTCCTAATTGACTTGAATAAATACTTGAATGGAAATATACAATATTTTTGTTGAAACTACCCGGGTTTCAGTGTAAAGTGTCGTAATAATAAATGGTAAACAATTTGCCTTCAGCACTTGTGTTTCATGCACGGCGAGCCTCAGTTTATAGGACGTAGAGCGTTTTTAGTGGTTTTGTTGTTCCATTACCCTCAAAAACGTGGGTGGAACTATAAACGAGGAATATCATAAATTAACGATTTCTTGGTCAAAAAATCAGGGTCGACTGATAACGAGGGGGGGTTATAGACGAGTATATACGGTATGTTGTCACAGTTTGATTGCCCATTTTAAAGTGGCGACCACGTGGTCGCTTGTTGTCGCTGTGCAGCTGTGGCGCTCACGCATGCGCACATGCACACAAATGCCCGCTAAAAAAAAAAAATCGTTTTTGAAAAGTCCGGATTCTCGGGTGGTCCGGATTTCTGGCATCCGGATTTTTGGACTTTTACTGTACAGTGACCCTCGGTTAACGAACTGCCTTCCATAAGAATCTTCAATTCGGTTAACAAACAAAAATTCGGTTAACGAATTTCTACGAACCGACCTCAACATGTTTTCGCTTGCACTGGCCGGGCAACCAGCTTTAGTATCAGTCCGCCAATACATTAATCGGTTCTAGGGCTTAAATTCCTTACTATTTTAGTAAATATCAAGAAGTTTATACTATTCAATAATTTTAAAAGTTTAATATTCAATTTTTTAGTCATTTTAACAATTATTGAACATAATTGAAGGTAAAGTGACTAGTTTAATGTGCGGCATCCAGCCTCTTAACACAGCAAACAGGCGTTAGTCTCTCTCTGTTTTCACTGGAGGTAACATCTTGCTTGAGACTCTTCAACTAAACGCTTTTTTTCTGTGTTTCCAAGCAAATTATTGGTCATTTTGAAATATATTTTACATATTGACAATATATAATGCAGTGCAGTGTTGATTTAAAGAAAATAATCTTGAAATACACCAAGAGAACTAAAATTTTATGGGTGAAATGAAGCCATGGGGTGACTTCTTCAACCCCAATGCCTTCTCTTCTTCCTTCTCCTCCACCCCCATTCTAATTCCCATCATCATCATCATCATCATCCAGGAGCCTTCTACATACACACCTCAAAGTAAGTGAACTTTTCTACCATTTTTGTTGAATTTAGGCAATTTTCGGTGAGCTGGAACCAATTACCCAAAACCCATTGAAACAATGGTTTCGGTTAACGAACTTTTCGGTTAACGAACGACCTGCTGGAACGGATTGAGTTCGTTAACCGAGGGACCACTGTACATAAATAAAAAAATAAAATATATAAATAAATAAATAAATGAATAAATAAAAGCGTAAACTAAATAACTACAATAATAACAAGTCAAGTCAACACACACATGCAGGATAAGTTTACCTGCTGGACAACTTCAGGCGGGAGAGAGTTGAGGTGTGTGTTATCCAGGCTATTTAACAGCTGTAGCTCGTCATCAACAAGTGTGTCCGGCATCCTGAAGCGCTGTTGAGTGAGGCGCTGGGATAACGTCGCTCGGTGTTCTGACATGAGGTGAGTCATCATGAACTGTGCCTTCCGTGATCTGGGGTCATCTACCAGCTCCTGTAATGTTGGCTTGGGTTAGGGTAGGTTAGGGTAGTGTTTATTTAGGTTAGGTTAGGTTAGGGTAGTGTTTATTTAGGTTAGGTTAGGTTAGGGTAGTGTTAATTTAGGTTAGGGTAGGTTAGGTTAGGGTAGTGTTAATTTAGGTTAGGGTAGGTTAGGTTAGGGTAGTGTTAATTTAGGTTAGGTTAGTGTTGTGTTAATTTGTGTTAGTTTGGTGTTAGGTTAAGTTTGTCAGGTTCATTAGATGGAGGTTTACATATAACACACTCCTCTCTCTAGTCTGGTAGATGAAGGTGAGTGTGACTAGTTTATTACACTAACAAGTTCCTTCGTTAATTACCTCTCTAACTGTGTTCTGTTATAGTGATCATTAGTTACAGTTAGGATCACCTCAAGACTACACACCCATTTGTTTCAGCTGATGATTAAACACTGGACTGCTTATTTAACCTGACTCAACTTAATCTAACCTAACTCAACTTAATCTAACCTAACTCAACTTAATCTAACCTAACTTGACTTAATGTAAACAAAACTAACGTACCCCCATGAGGTAGTGAGCAGTACACTTACCTGAAGTGACTTTTTATCCATAGTGAGAAGTTGTTTGAGCATCAACCTCCTGAGTCTAGGCATGAGGTGCAGCTTGACCCGAGACTCTCCACCCCCCTCCTTGCTGGCCCCGGCTCCCTCCACCAGACTCATGGAGCACGACCTCGTGCGTCCCGGCCCGGGCCTGGCCGCCGCGCTCCCCGCCGTCGGGCGTTTCCGGAGGTCGATCACCCCCGAACTCTCCGACAGGTGTCGTCTGCGGGCGAAGGCGGAGGAGGACGGCTGGGCGGAGGACACGGAGGACCAGCGGGTCTCCGTCCTGCCGGCGTCCGTGTCCGAGTAAGTGCCCGAGTCCTCCTGCTCCTCCCCGCAGGCCATGCTGCCGCTCTTGTGCAGGACGCTCAGCTTCTTCCTGGATGCGGCCGTCTGGGGCGCGTCCAGGATGTTGCCGGTTCCTCCCTGGCCGCGCCCCACGGCCGCCCACTCCTTCGCGCTGAAGCGTATGTCTATGTCAAACTCGAGACAGCTGGGGTGACGGCGGGGCATGGACAGGTCCTCGGCGTCGTCGTCTTCTCCGGTCCCTCCCGCGCGGCGGTCGTCTCTGCTGTCATCGTCCTCCTCGGCCGCCGAACACTCCCCTCCCTCGTTGCTCTTCTTCTTGGCCGCGAGGAACGTCCTCCTCAGTTTGTTGGCGGCCGCCGCGAGGGCCTTCTTCTTGGCGGCCTCGGCGTAGGTGGAGCTCTCGTCCCCCTTGGTCTTCTTCTCTTTGCCTTTACTCTTAAACGTACACCAGTCCTCCCTGGAGGGCCGTACGCTCCACTTGTAGCCGCCGGGAGCGTCGCACTTGCCGGCCTGTAGTTTGGTCTTGTTTTTCTTGCCTCCTTTGCTGCCTCTGCCCTTGCCAGTAATGTCTTCACTGTTGCCCCAAGCTTCCCTGAAAGGTTGATGGTGGATGGGGTTTGTCTTCCTCTTATCCATCAGGTGTCTTCTTCTGGAGTCGTGAGAGTTGTCTCTGTTCTTCTGGTGGGTGTAGGGCGGGGACGGAGGCGGCCTCCGATGATCCGCGGGACCGTAGCCCGGGTCGTGTCTCTGTCCGTCGTAAGCGGCCTCCGCGTGGTGGGTGCAGCTGCCGGACCTCCCGCCGCCGTCTCTGCTCTTGTGGTGGGAGAGGGAGGAGGACCTGCGGCGGAAGTCCGTCGGGTCGTACCCGGAGTCGTGTCCGTGCTGCCCGCCGTAGCCGCCCTCCGAGTGGCGGTGGCTGCGGCTCCCGGGTCTGTGGTTGCCGTTACGCTTGTGATTTTTTGCGACCCGGGTGCCAAACGACCACTGGGGCTCGCCGGAGTCGGGATGGGCGCCCTTGTTGTCGTCTCTCCAGCTGGGACCGCTGAGGTAGGCGTCCATAGACTGTTTCTGCTGGGCCCACCACTTCATGTCAAAGGCGTATTGGCCGTTGTCCGTCTGGAAGTAGCCCGGGTGTGCCTGCGCCCAGCGGTGGTGTGTGGCATAGGGCGGAGGAGCGTGGTGGCTGCGATTAGAGTCCGCGAGGACGTTCGGCGCCGCCAAGAGGGGCCAGGAGGTGGCGAAGTGCGTGGACGGCGGACCCATCAAGGACTGCTGGGGACCGCGGGAGGCCGACGCCGAACTCTGGGCCGCGTTGCCCTCCTGCTCGTCGTCATGACGACGTCGACTCTCGCTCCTGTAGTCGATGGGCGAGGGCGTGGCTCCGGGTCGCGGGGGGGAGGACGCGGGAGGACGGGCCTCCGCCTCACTACTCACGTCCCAGTCCATCTGTGATGAACAACGACCGCCCCATCTTCTCGACTGGTCCTTGGCACACTCGCGTTCCCCCTTTATGTCCCAGCGTGAACGTCTCATGCCACAAGGTGCACTCTGCTGCGGGAGGAGAACAAAGGCTCAAGTTAGTACCACATGCAACATTACAATAATTCACAACATCATCAACGTCATCTAACACAACACTGTAAAACATCTAATGTTATGCAGTACATTAGGTTAGGTAAGTTTAGCTTAGATTAGATTAGGATAGGTAAGTTTAGCTTAGGTTAGTTTAGGTTTGGTAAGTTTAGCTTAGGTTAGTTTAGGTTTGGTAAGCTTAGCTTAGATTAGATTAGGTTAGGTAAGTTTAGCTTAGGTAAGTTTAGGTTAGGTAAGTTTAGCTTAGGTTAGTTTAGGTCAGGTAAGTTTAGCTTAGGTTAGTTTAGGTCAGGTAAGTTTAGCTTAGGTTAAATTACATGAGAATATGTTAGGTTAGGTGAGTCAGGTTAGAATTAAGGTAAAGTAACAATAACTCAGTAAAGTAACAATAACTCAGTAAAGTAACAATACCTCAGGACAGTAACAATACCTCAGTAAAGTAACAATACCTCAGGACAGTAACAATACCTCAGTAAAGTAACAATACCTCAGGACAGTAACAATACCTCAGTAAAGTAACAAAACCTCAGGACAGTAACAATAACTCAGTAAAGTAACAATACCTCAGTAAAGTAACAAAACCTCAGGACAGTAACAATAACTCAGTAAAGTAACAATAACTCAGGGCAGTAACAATAACTCAGGGCAGTAACAATACCTCAGTAAAGTAACAATACCTCAGGACAGTAACAATAACTCAGTAAAGTAACAATACCTCAGTAAAGTAACAATAACTCAGTAAAGTAACAATAACTCAGGACAGAAACAATAACTCAGTAAAGTAACAATAACTCAGTAAAGTAACAATACCTCAGTAAAGTAACAATAACTCAGTAAAGTAACAATAACTCAGTAAAGTAACAATAACTCAGTAAAGTAACAATAACTCAGTAAAGTAACAATAACTCAGGACAGAAACAATAACTCAGGACAGAAACAATAACTCAGTAAAGTAACAATAACTCAGTAAAGTAACAATAACTCAGTAAAGTAACAATAACTCAGCAAAGTAACAATAACTCAGTAAAGTAACAATAACTCAGGACAGAAACAATAACTCAGGACAGTAACAATAACTCAGTAAAGTAACAATAACTCAGTAAAGTAACAATAACTCAGTAAAGTAACAATAACTCAGCAAAGTAACAATAACTCAGTAAAGTAACAATAACTCAGGACAGTAACAATACCTCAGGACAGAAACAATACCTCAGTAAAGTAACAATAACTCAGGACAGTAACAATACCTCAGGACAGTAACAATACCTCAGTATAACTCAGTAACAATACTCAGTACAGAAACAATAACTCAGTAAAGTAACAATAACAGGGCAGTAACAATACCTCAGTAAAGTAACAATAACTCACAGTAACAATACCTCAGTAAAGTAACAATAACTCAGGACAGTAACAATACCTCAGAAACAACTCAGTAAAGTAACAATAGCAGTAACACACTCTCTGTAAGCAACAATAACTCAGGACAGTAACAATACCTCAGTAAAGTAACAATACCTCAGTAAAGTAACAATAACTCAGGACAGTAACAATACCTCAGGACAGAAACAATAACTCAGTAAAGTAACAATAACTCAGGACAGTAACAATACCTCAGGACAGAAACAATACCTCAGTAAAGTAACAATAACTCAGGACAGTAACAATACCTCAGGACAGTAACAATACCTCAGTAAAGTAACAATACCTCAGGACAGTAACAATAACTCAGTAAAGTAACAATACCTCAGTAAAGTAACAATACCTCAGTAAAGTAACAATACCTCAGTAAAGTAACAATACCTCAGGACAGTAACAATACCTCAGGACAGTAACAATAACTTAGTAAAGTAACAATAACTCAGTAAAGTAACAATAACTCAGTAAAGTAACAATAACTCAGTAAAATAACCTAACCAAAACTGGAGGCGACTTTCACTATACCTGACCAGATACAAGTCGTTAATTAAGACACTGTAGAGTCTAATTACCTGTGTGGTGATTACCTAGAGGGGTTAATGAGGTGGTTAGAAGATGTTAACAGCCCAGGTGATATAATTAATGTGTTAAGACAATGGTTAAAGAGATCTGTTGTTGTTTTGTGGTTAATTTAAATAAAACACTGAATTAAGATCTACAAGAAGGAACATTAAAAAAAAACATCTTAATATAAATGAGGTTGTTTAAGGCCTCATCACTCACTTATAGGTCATTAGGTTGTTAGGGTTAGTTCCTGGGGGGTAGTATAAGTAGTTAACACCCACCTGGTAGTGTGATAGGTGGTCTGTTAAGGGTCAGATGAGTTAAGGGTTAGTTCCTGGAGGGTAGTATAAGTAGTTAACACCCACCTGGTAGTGTGATAGGTGGTCTGTTAAGGGTCAGATGAGTCAAGGGTTAGTTCCTGGAGGGTAGTACAAGTAGTTAACACCCACCTGGTAGTGTGATAGGTGGTCTGTTAAGGGTCAGATGAGTTAAGGGTTAGTTCCTGGAGGGTAGTACAAGTAGTTAACACCCACCTGGTAGTTTGATAGGTGGTCTGTTATGGGTCAGATGAGCTGGCACTTTGGAGTGGTAGTATTAAGTAGTTAACACCTACCTGGTAGCGTGATAGGTGGTCTGTTAAGGGTCAGATGAGTCAAGGGTTAGTTCTTAGAGGTGGTAGTACAAGTAGTTAACACCCACCTGGTAGTGTGATAGGTGGTCTGTTAAGGGTCAGATGAGTTAAGGGTTAGTTCCTGAAGGGTAGTACAAGTAGTTAACACCCACCTGGTAGTGTGATAGGTGGTCTGTTAAGGGTCAGATGAGTTAAGGGTTAGTTCCTGGAGGGTAGTACAAGTAGTTAACACCCACCTGGTAGTGTGATAGGTGGTCTGTTAAGGGTCAGATGAGTTAAGGGTTAGTTCCTGGAGGGTAGTACAAGTAGTTAACACCCACCTGGTAGTGTGATAGGTGGTCTGTTAAGGGTCAGATGAGTCAAGGGTTAGTTCCTGGAGGGTAGTACAAGTAGTTAACACCCACCTGGTAGTGTGATAGGTGGTCTGTTAAGGGTCAGATGAGTTAAGGGTTAGTTCCTGGAGGGTAGTACAAGTAGTTAACACCCACCTGGTAGTGTGATAGGTGGTCTGTTAAGGGTCAGATGAGTTAAGGGTTAGTTCCTGGAGGGTAGTACAAGTAGTTAACACCCACCTGGTAGTTTGATAGGTGGACTGTTAAGGGTCAGATGAGTCAAGGACATTTAACTATCAAAACATCGTTCCCTTCACACCAACTGACGCCATATTTGTTTTGGTTCATGAGACGCCCAGGTTGTGTATACTTTATTCTATCTTATTATGTATTTTATTAACTTATTCTATTTGTTATAATACTTAAGATATAAATATATATCTAATTAATATACACAATATTTACTGTATTGTTTAATTATATAAAATAACCACGTATATTTAACTCGTCATGGTGTATAATTTCATAGGGTATAATATTATCCTCTAAAATATAATTATACCCGGAATTTAATGATATATATTGTATAATTATATATTCTTAATAAATATATCAACGTAATAAAATACACTGAGTTTGTTATAAAGGGGAATTATAGAATACAGTGTTATATTAAGGTAGAGAGAACATGTTATAGGAACCCCCTGGCGTGAGTGGGTCAGATGGTCGTCGTCTGCCAGAGAGGGAAGTCGTGCGATCAATACACCAGCGCCTTTGTGTGCACTCCTCTTCTCCTCTATTTCTTAACACCTTACAGTAAGTAGAACCCTAAATTTATAAACCATCTTAACAGTATTATTAAGTGAGTCCATCAACGAGTAATGGTAGGTTATAGAGGTATTAAATAAAGGGGTTTTAGATAAGGTTATATGATCCGCCTCTTTAGTCATGGGCGGCTACCATCACCCCCTTATTACATTCATTAATTCATTCTCCTCTTATCATGGCTCTTAACTACCTTATAAATACGTTAATTAATCTAAATACCATTATTGTTTTGTGGTATATGGAGTTATTTTAATTATTAGGTTAGTGAGATGAATCTTTCTGGAAGGTCATATAGGCAACTGTTATTATTGTTATTATGTTATTATTATTGTTATTTATGTTATTATTGTTATTATTATGTTTCTTTTAAGTTATTCTATGTTAAGGAGATATTTTAACCCGTTTATTAACCTCTGATGGTAGGTTTAACCCTCCCCCCGTCAGGACACGCCCACACACTGTCTGGGGGTGACCTCTGGACTCGACCTGACACTCCAGTTGTGTCTTGAGGGCCACTTGAGGGGTAGTCTGGGGGGTCACTTGAGGGGTAGTCTGGGGGTTACTTGAGGTATGGTCTGGGGGGGTTACTTCTGAGGGGTGGTCTGAGGAACTTGAGGGGTAGTCTGGGGGTTACTTGAGGGGTGGTCTGGGGGTTACTTGAGGGGGTGGTCTGGGGGGTCACTGAGGGGTAGTCTGGGGGTCACTTGAGGGGTAGCCTGGGGGAACTCTGAGGGGTAGTCTGGGGGTCACTTCAGGGGTACATTTGAGGGGTATTCTGGGGGCCACAAGTGTATTCTTTTGAAGGCCACGAGGGGGGTATTCTTTGAAGGCCACTTGAGGGGTATTCTCAGGGCCACTTAAGAGGATATCCTTTGAGGGCCACTTAAAGAGGGTATCCTTTGAGGGCCACTTAAGAGGGTATCCTTTGAGGGCCACTTAGGAGGATATCCTTTGAGGGTAGAATTTATCACTTAAGATGTGATTTTTTTTTATGATTTTATTTTCTAGACGATGATGGACCTTAGGGGTGGTGGTGTGGTGTGGGGGTGAGACTTAGCGATGCCTCGGGTGTTACCGCGGTGAACCTAAGGCGGCGGTAGAGGTGTGGTATTGGGGGTGTAAAGACTCGACTAACACTGCGGTTAAATTAGTGTCGTGGAAGACTGACGATACCTTAATTAAATTTGTATCGTCTGCGGGGCGGTTACACTTTATTTGGGAATGTTTGTTTACTGTATGGTGGAGAGGAGGTGGGGAACGAGAAAAACTTGAAAGCCACAAGTACGAAAGATCGCACGACTTGATGTAATGTAACCCGAACTACTCCTGATGTTGTGGTGCGTTTGGTTAGGTTAGGTTGTGAGTGGGTTAGGTTAGGTTTGAGTGGGTTAGGCTTGAGTGGGTTAGGTTAGGTTTGAGTGGGTTAGGCTTGAGTGGGTTAAGTTTGAGTGGGTTAGGTTAGGCTTGAGTGGGTTAGGTTAGGTTTGAGTGGGTTAGGTTAGGCTCGGTACCTAACTAATTTTTGTACTAAATATTTTGTAGTTTCTCTGTGAATTTAAATTTTCTGCATTAAAACAAACGCACCATTAATTATATATATCCATGACAAAAATTCTGCAACAAGAAATAACGTCGGAATTTAACTAGAATTTTTACGATATCACTTAGTAAATTTTGAAAGTTTTGTATTTAGCCTTTGGTAATGTTGTCGCATCATCATGAATTCTTCGCTGGATTGATCTTATTAACACTGATCATTGATGTCTTGGAGTGATGCAAGTCTCTGATCATTGATGTCTTGGAGTGATGCAAGTCTCTGATCGTTAATGTCTTGGAATGATGCAAGACTCTGATCATTAATGTATCTTAGGGTGTTGCAAATCAGTGATCGTCGTGAATTTGCAATATTGTTAAAATCGCACGAATGGTCTTTTAACACTCGTTGCAATGTTGGGGTTTTATTGGGGCCAAGATGGACTGCGGGAATCTGTGGTGGGCTCCCGGTGGTTTGAGGCACTTGATTGGTGATGGAGAGTATGAGGGTAGGTTAGGGGGGGGTTGTGAGAGTTGTTGAGGCCTTGGTGGGTATATGGCTGTTCATTTTGAGTTGAATCTCGGCTCAAAGTACAATTATGAATGCTAACCTAACCTAACAAAATCTAACCTAATTTAATATACAGGGTAATGTAACCTAACCTAACATAATTTAACCTAATCTAATATAATTTAACCTAACCAGCCCAATCTAACTAAACCTAACTTAATATACATGGTAATTTAACCTAACCTAACTTCATATTCAGGGTAATTTAACCTAACCTAACATAATATTCAGGATAATTTAACCTAACCTAATAAAATTTAACCTAACCCAACTTAATATTCAGGGTAATTTAACCTAACCTAATATTATTTAACCTAACTAGACCTGTTAAGAATTCTCCTATTTGGCCTGACTTTAAGGTTTTGGCAATTATCAGAGCCAGACGCACACACTGGAGCTAGACTAAGGCCTCTCAGTGTTGAACAAGGGGGTGATGTAGCTACTGGTGGGAATTTTAGGCCCACTTCCTTAACATCTTCACTACAGGGATGCATCTTTGGGTAACGTCAGATGATTTTATTCACCCCCAAAGGAAATCCCACCCACAGGTTAACTATTATTTTCTTCGGGGATTTCACTAACTATTGCTATGGCGTAAATGCTTTATATTAGGCGTAGGAATAAGGTATTTATTTATTTAAGAGAATAAGGAATAAATTCTCTTAAAAGTTGAAACGAAAGGGAAAGTTAAATTCTGTGTTACATCGCCAACACCGTTAAGTGGTGGCTCATTATTGCGGTGTTAAGATTGTATTGATGGTCATTCGTTCAAGTGGTTCGTTCCTTCAAGTGGTTCGTTCATCCAAGTGGTTCGTTCCTTCAAGTGGTCCGTTCATCCAAGTGGTTGATTCAGTCCTACAAAAATCACCCCGTCCTCAGTAATGTGTCTTGAAAGTACAGTCCATTATACACAAATTGAATACAGTTACAGTATATAATTTTTTACTCACTTCTGTACCAAAACAAAGGTCATTCTATAAACAAACTGTAGTCGGTGCTCGAGTTACGAACGTGTTATTTTCCTAGGGTCTGGTGGGTCAGTTTTGGTTAGGTTAGGTTAACTTAGGTGATTTTGCTGAAGTCTCGATATTTAATTAAACTTCACATAGAACCCAACTTGACCTAGCTAAATGTAATGTACCGGTGACCTGACCTTAACATATCTGAACCTTATTTCACTGGAATATTAGCCACCTCAGCTTATTTCACTGGAATATTTGGCATCCAAGCTTATTTCACTGGAATATTAGCCACCCCAGCTTATTTCACTGGAATATTTGGCATCCAAGCTTATTTCACTGGAATATTAGCCACCCCAGCTTATTTCACTGGAATATTTGGCATCCAAGCTTATTTCACTGGAATATTAGCCACCCCAGCTTATTTCACTGGAATATTTGGCATCCAAGCTTATTTCACTGGAATATTAGCCACCCCAGCTTATTTTACTGGAATATTAGGCATCCAAGCTTATTTCACTGGAATATTAGGCACCCCAGCTTATTTCACTGGAATATTAAGCACTGAAGCTTATTTCACTGGAATATTAGCCACCCCAGCTTATTTTACTGGAATATTAGGCATCCAAGCTTATTTCACTGGAATATTAGGCACCCCAGCTTATTTCACTGGAATATTAAGCACTGAAGCTTATTTCACTGGAATATTAGCCACCCCAGCTTAATACTTCACTGGAATATTAGCCTCCCCAGCTTATTTCACTGGAATATTAGGCATCCAAGTTTATTTCACTGAATATTGTGCCACCCCAGCTTATTTCACTGAATATTAGCCACCCCAGCTTATTTCACTGGAATAGTTAGCCACCCCAGCTTATTTCACTGGAATATTAGCCACCCCAGCTTATTTCACTGAATATTAGCTACCCCAGCTTATTTTCACTGAAATATTAGGCATCCAAGCTTATTTCACTGAATATTAGCCACCCCAGCTTATTTCACTGAATATTAGCCACCCCAGCTTATTTCACTGGAATATTAGCCACACCAAGCTTATTTCACTGGAATATTAGGCATCCAAGTTTATTTCACTAACATATTACCTCAGCTTATTTTCCACTGAAATATTAGCCACCCCAGCTTAATTCACTGAATATTAGGCATCCAAGCTTATTTCACTGAAATTTTAGCCAACCCAGGTTATTTCACTGGGAATATTAGCCACCCCAGCTTATTTTCCCCAATGGAAATATTAGCCACCCAGCTTATTTCACTGGAATATTAGGATGTCCAAGCTTATTTCACTGAATATAGCCACCCAGCTTATTTCCTCAATTTGGATTATTAGGCGTCCAAGCTTATGTCACTAGAATATTAGCTATCCCAGCTTTATTTCTACTGAATATTAACCACCCCACAGCTTCACTGAACATTAGGCGTCCCAGCTTATTTCACCTGAAGATTAGACACATCCAAGCTTATTTCACTGGAATATTAGCCACCCCAGCATATTTCACTGGAATATTAGCCACCCCAGCTCATTTCATGGGAATATTAGGCATCCAAGCTTATTTCACTGGAATTTTAGCCACCCCAGCTTATTTCACTGGAATATTAGATGTCCAAGCTTATTTCACTGGAATATTAGCCACCCAAGCTTATTTCACGGGAATATTAGCCACCCCAGCTTATTTTACTGGAATATTAGGTGTCCAAGCTTATTTCACTGGAATATTAGCCACCCCAGCTTATTTCACTGGAATATTAGCCACCCCAGCTTATTTCACTGGAATATTAGGCGTCCAAGCTTATGTCACTGGAATATTAGCTACCCCAGCTTATTTCACTGGAATATTTGGCATCCAAGCTTATTTTTAGGCACCCCAGCTTATTTAACCTTATGAATAGCAAAACACCCCAAATGCTAACCTAACTTACCCGACTTAACCTAACCTGACCACCTAACTTAATCTAACCTAACCTGACCACCTAACTTAATCTAATCTAACCTATCCTTAAACCCTGATAGCATAAAGACTTAATCCGAGACTAATTTGGTAATTCTTGAGGGCAATGTGAAAAAATGTGACAATATTTTTAGGATAAGTGAACATTTAAGGAGCTTTTCTATAGGTTACAGTAAGTGAAAAATTCCGACTTATTTTTTTTTTATTACGCTCAGTCAACCAAAGATGCACCCAATCCACCCTGGGTCTCATGATGGCAATTTTACCCGTCGAGAGATGTTTCAATTTTGTTGTGTACAGCTGCTCCCCGACTTACGACGGGATTAGGGACCGACATCCAGGTCTTAAGTCGGAAATGCTTAAATAATACATAGAAAATTCAAAATGGGATCTCTTTTCTTCTCAGCACCACAAAACACCCACTTTTAAGCTTGCCAGCCATTTTAAAGAAATTACAGATGAAAATTTTGTCTGTACTTGAAAATACGTAAGTCGGGGAGGAGCTGTACTTGTTTAAATAATGACGACAATTTGATGTGAGAATCTTATGGCAGCTGTGGTTGTAGTCGAGTTATACAGCCCAAAACAGATCCACCAATCACAACCACCTTTACATACAGATCCACCAATCACAACCACCTTTACATACAGATCCACCAATCACAACCACCTTTACATACAGATCCACCAATCACAACCACCTTTACATACAGATCCACCAATCACAACCACCTTTACATACAGATCCACCAATCACAACCACCTTTACATACAGCATTAATTTACCGAGTATTGACGGGTAAAATTGCCAGCACGAGACCCAGGGTGGATTCAGTGCATCTTTGGTTGACTGTGCATGAAATTTTGCAAATTTTTTTTTATTTATTGCTTACGAGAAAGTTTGTTACATTGTTCGGGATACAGTGATGCAGGATTGAGGTCCCCAAAGTTTAGGAAATACTTTACAGTTTAAAGAAAATACAATTATTCTAATATATTGTTCGAGGACGTGAGTTATTAATATGATGCGGGAAATAATTCTTCTATGGGGTCCAGTGTATTGTACAGTGAAACCTCGATATAATGGACTGATCTCTGTGTATTCTGTTAAATGGGGGTTTAATAGATTACGGACCCTCGATATAAAGAACGTTTTACTTAAATGGGCTTTTCATATCTAACGGACCTCGATATAATGGACTTACCTCTTAGCAGTCGATGCCATGTTGACCTTGTGTTAGGTTAGGTGACTACTGTATGAAATGGCTTGTATGCCTATATGTCTGTTTATACTCTGTGTCTGTCTGTATGTCTGTGGTAATGAAGGGATTTGATTATTTGTGCTTCATAAAATTATCTTAGTATAGCTGTATCGAGTATTAATCTAACTCTCGGAACACGACTGAAAACACCCGGCCTGAGGAATTCCTGCCAATCGCGTCAATTTTGGTGTTATTGTAGTCAATTAAATAGAAAAAAAAAACCTAGATTTATTTTCTTGTATAATTTCTCCATATGTGACGTAAATACAATAACTAGAGGAAAGTAATTTGAAACGGATTAATTTATTGGGGGTTATTGACTTGATGTGATTATGTACAGTTATTTAATTAGGACATTTTTGGGGGATTTTTTATATATCTGTTCTTTTATCTCGATTTTTTTCGTGTCTGTCTATCTTTTTGTAAGAGGAGGTTTGAAATTTCTCAAGTCATTATCGTTCTGTGTAGTGGTACAGTTGTTTAATGTTAACGACCAGTGTGTGTGTATGGTTCACCTACATGTGTACAGTGATGAATCGTGTACAAAGTCGCCTGTATATGAAGTGTCTCCTGTGACTTAGTACAGGTAGAGTGAATGTGATTTTTATTTACAATTCTTTGTTTCATCTTTAATCTCTGTATCTTGTTAAACTTTTGTTGGGTTTTTAGTTTTATGTAGTTTAACTGTTGGTGGGTTATTGTACAGTAGCTAAAACAACTATCTGTGCAGGTGGGGGTCGATATGCTCCGAAATCTTGCGTGTGACTAGTGACAGCCCTCATATACCAATATTTATCGTCCATGGTCTCATAAATCTTACATGTGACTAGTGACAGCCCTCATATACCAATATTTATCGTCCATGGTCTCATAAATCTTACGTGTGACTAGTGACAGCCTTCATATACCAATATTTATCGTCCATGGTCTCATATATCTTACGTGTGACTAGTGACAGCCTTCATATACCAATATTTATCATCCATGGTCTCATAAATCTTACGTGTGACTAGTGACAGCCCTCTTATACCAATATTTATCGTCCATGGTCTCATAAATCTTACATGTGACTAGTGACAGCCCTCATATACCAATATTTACCGTCCATGGTCTCATAAATCTTGCGTGTGACTAGTGACAGCCCTCATATACCAATATTTATCGTCCATGGTCTCATAAATCTTACGTGTGACTAGTGACAGCCCTCATATACCAATATTTATCGTCATGAGGTCTCGTATGTCTTCACGATGTGATAGTGACAGCCTTCATATACCAATGATATCGATCCATGGTCTCATATATCTTCACGTGTGACTAGTGACCTTCATATCTAATATTGTCGTCCATAGTCTCATAAATGTTACGTGTGACTAGTGACAGCCCTCATATACCAATATTTATCGTCCATGGTCTCATAAATGTTACGTGTAACTAGTGACAGCCCTCATATCCCAATATTTATCATCCATGGTCTCATAAATGTTACGTGTTGACTAGTGACAGCCCTCATATACCAATATTGATCATCCATGGTCTCATAAATGTTACGTGTGACTAGTGACAGCCCTCATATACCAATATTTATCGTCCATGGTCTCATAAATGTTACGGGTGACTAGTGACAGCCCTCATATACCAATATTTATCATCCATGGTCTCATAAATGTTACGGGTGACTAGTGACAGCCCTCATATACCAATATTTATCATCCATGGTCTCATAAATGTTACGTGTGACTAGTGACAGCTCTCATATACCAATATTTATCGTCTATGGTCTCATAAATGTTATGTGAGACTAGTGACAGCCCTCATATACCAATATTTATCGTCCATGGTCTCATAAATGTTACGGGTGACTAGTGACAGCCCTCATATACCAATATTTATCATCCATGGTCTCATAAATGCTACGTGTGACTAGTGACAGCCCTCATATGCCAATATTTATCATCCATGGTCTCATAAATGTTACATGTGACTAGTGACAGCCCTCATATACCAATATTTATCGTCCATGGTCTCATAAATCTTGATGTGACCGTAAGTGACATCCTCATATAATATTTATCGTCCATGGTCTGTATGTCTTACATGTGACTAGTGACAGCCCTCATATACCAATATTTATCGCCCATGGTCTCATAAATCTTGCATGTGACTAGTGACAGCCTTCATATACCAATATTTATCGTCCATGGTCTCATAAATCTTGCGTGTGACTAGTGACAGCCCTCATATACCAATATTTATCGTCCATGGTCTCATAAATCTTGCGTGTAACTAGTGACAGCCTTCATATACCAATATTTATCGTCCATGGTCTCATAAATCTTGCGTGTGACTAGTGACAGCCCTCATATACCAATATTTATCGTCCATGGTCTCATAAATCTTGCGTGTGACTAGTGACAGCCCTCATATACCAATATTTATCGTCCATGGTCTCATAAATCTTGCGTGTGACTAGTGACAGCCTTCATATACCAATATTTATCGCCCATGGTCTCATTGTTTCCCACAAAGTATGCACATATAGTTTTAGCTACTGTACATGGGTCATAGGTGCATTTTCTGCCTTGTTTGTTGACAGAAAAGTTGTGTGCTCGTTATTGAAACAGCCAATGGCGTGATTTAGTGTTGAGCGGAAAATTTTGAAAACCAGAATATTTGAGTGTGTATACTGAACTGTGTGTTGGTTAAGAATAAAGCCCAGTGTTCCTCGGTGACTTCTGAGTGGAAGAACACTTTGAGTGACTGATGAGGGCAAGACATCATCAGGTGACCTGTAGTGTAGTGAAGTAGAGCTAATAATACTGTAGGAGGCGGCCACACAACTAACAGTGACAGTGGAGATGCTAAGATGGTACATAATGTCTCCAGCAGGAAGGAGGATGTGGCCCGGAAGGTTCCTGGCCGCTCTACTCCAGAAGGCCGGGCATGCCAGCGCCCTGCCTCGCCCGATGTCTCTCGCCCACAGTGCCGGGTCCGGGCATCCTCGTACTCGGCGGTGCTTCTCGTCAACAGTTAACAGACAGTGCGAGCCGAACGATTCGCTCAACAGAAGAGTCGAGGACTCTCACACCAGGAAGACCATATTCTCCGGCATTCAGCCCACGGGAGTGTTACACCTGGGGAACTACTTTGGGGCGGTGCAGCGGTGGGTGGAGCTGCAGGAGACCGGTGAAGAAGTCATCTTCTGTATAGTGGATCTTCACTCCATCACCCTGCCTCAGGACCCCAAGACCTTACACTCTCAGATCATCACCATGGCCGCGTCGCTCGTGGCCTGCGGCATAGACCCGTCCCGGGCCGTCCTCTTCCAACAGTCTAGGGTGTCTGAACACGCCCAGTTTAATTGGGTGCTGGGATGTTTGACCACCATGGCCAGGCTGGGTCACCTCCCCCAGTATAAGGAGAAGTCCGCCTCGCTCAAGGAGATCCCTCTGGGTCTGTATGTGTACCCGGTGTTACAGTCGGCGGACATATTACTGTACCGGGCCACTCATGTCCCCGTGGGGGAGGACCAGCGCCAGCACATACAGTTGGCCGCTCACTTGGCCCGGGTGTTCAATAACAAATTTGGCCAGACGTTCGTCTTGCCTCGCTCCTTGGTGTACGACGACTCTATAGCCCGGGTCAAGAGCCTCAGGCAGCCCGACAAGAAGATGTCCAAGTCGGAGACGGATCCCAAGAGCAGGATCAACCTCGCCGACTCCCCGGACGAGATCAGAGAAAAATTCAAGAAGGCCGTAACGGACTTTACATCGGCCGTGTACTTCGACGCCGAGAATCGTCCCGGCGTGTCCAACCTGATGTCCATACACAGAGCAGTTACCGGCCAGAGCATGGAGCAGATCAGCAGAGAATGTGAGGGTGTGAACACTGCCCAGTACAAGCTTCTGGTGGCAGATGCTGTTATAGAGCACCTCAGACCAATCAGGCTGAGACTAGAGCAACTGTTGAGTGACAGAGCTCACCTTAATCACCTGTTGGATCTGGGAGCTGACAAAGCCAAAACCATTGCCTCTAAAACCTGGCAAGATGTCAGGGAGAAAGTGGGTTTATTACACAAGTAAATAAGTTTTAACAACAATAACCATACAAGTACATGGCAAATGGTAAGGCAATTCAACCAAGGATGACTTCCAATTTTTTTCCAAGATGTTATTACTGCAACAGGTTATAAAGATCATACATACATACATACATACATACATACATACATACATAATCTGTATATATAAATTATTTGTTGATGTATTTCACTGATGTTGATAATCAGTTATGAGATTTTTTAATAAAATTTGTTTTATGTAGATGGAAAATGATTAACCTCCCATGATTGTGGTTGTTGTGAGTTGGTTGTGGATGGTTGTTGTGATGCTGGGAGGGTGGTTTTTGACAGATGGCTGTTGTGAGATGGTTGTGGATGGTTGTTGTGATGCTGAGAGGGTGGTTTTTGACAGATGGTTGTTGTGGATGGTTGTTGTGATGCTGAGAGGGTGGTTTTTGACAGATGGCTGTTGTGAGTTGGTTGTGGATGGTTGTTGTGATGCTGGGAGGGTGGTTTTTGACAGATGGCTGTTGTGAGATGGTTGTGGATGGTTGTTGTGATGCTGAGAGGGTGGTTTTTGACAGATGGTTGTTGTGGATGGTTGTTGTGATGCTGAGAGGGTGGTTTTTGACAGATGGCTGTTGTGAGTTGGTTGTGGATGGTTGTTGTGATGCTGGGAGGTGATTTTGACAGATGGCTGTTGTGAGATGGTTGTGGATGGTTTTGTGATGCTGAGAGGGTGGGTTTTGACAGATGGCTGTTGTGGGTTGGTTGTGGATGGTTGTTGTGATGCTGGGAGGGTGATTTTGACAGATGGCTGTTGTGAGATGGTTGTGGATGGTTGTTGTGATGCTGAGAGGGTGGTTTTGACAGATGGCTGTTGTGAGATGGTTGTGGATGGTTGTTGTGAGATGGTTGTGGATGGTTGTTGTGAGATGGTTGTGGATGGTTGTTGTGAGATGGTTGTGGATGGTTGTTGTGATGCTGGAGGTGGTTTTTGACAGATGGTTGTTGTGAGATGGTTGTGGATGGTTGTTGTGATGCTGGGAGGGTGGTTTTGACAGATGGCTGTTGTGAGTTGGTTGTGGATGGTTGTTGTGATGCTGGAGGGTGATTTTTGACAGATGGCTGTTGTGAGATGGTTGTGGATGGTTGGTGTGATGCTGAGAGGGTGGTTTTGACAGATGGTTGTTGTGAGTTGGTTGTGGATGGTTGTTGTGATGCTGAGAGGTGGTTTTGACAGATGGCTGTTGTGAGTTGGTTGTGGATGGTTGTTGTGATGCTGAGAGGGTGGTTTTGACAGATGGTTGTTGTGGATGGTTGTTGTGATGCTGAGAGGGTGGTTTTGACAGATGGTTGTTGTGAGATGGTTGTGGATGGTTGTTGTGATGCTGAGAGGGTGGTTTTGACAGATGGTTGTTGTGAGTTGGTTGTGGATGGTTGTTGTGATGCTGAGAGTGGTTTTTGACAGATGGTGTTGTGGAGTTGGTTGTGGATGGTTGTTGTGATGCTGAGAGGTGGTTTTGACAGATGGTTGTTGAGTTGGTTGTGGATGGTTGTTGTGATGCTGGGAGGGTGGTTTGACAGATGGTTGTTGTGAGTTGGTTGTGGATGGTTGTTGTGATGCTGAGAGGGTGGTTTTGACAGATGGTTGTTGTGAGATGGTTGTGGATGGTTGTTGTGATGCTGGAGAGGGTGGTTTTGACAGATGGTTGTTGTGAGATGGTTGTGGATGGTTGTTGTGATGCTGAGAGGGTGGTTTTGACAGATGGTTGTTGTGAGATGGTTGGATGGTTGTTGTGATGCTGAGAGGGTGGTTTTGACAGATGGTTGTTGTGAGATGGTTGTGGATGGTTGTTGTGATGCTGGGAGGTTGGTTTTTGACAGATGGCTGTTGTGAGTTGGTTGTGGATGGTTGTTGTGATGCTGGGAGGGTGGTTTTTGACAGATGGCTGTTGTGAGTTGGTTGTGGATGGTTGTTGTGATGCTGGGAGGGTGGTTTTGACAGATGGCTGTTGTGAGTTGGTTGTGGATGGTTGTTGTGATGCTGAGGGTGGTTTTGACAGATGGTTGTTGTGAGATGGTTGTGGATGGTTGTTGTGATGCTGGGAGGTGGTTTTTGACAGATGGTTGTTGTGAGATGGTTGTGGATGGTTGTTGTGAGATGGTTGTGGATGGTTGTTGTGAGATGGTTGTGGATGGTTGTTGTGATGCTGAGAGGGTGGTTTTTGACAGATGATTGTTGTGAGATGGTTGTGGATGGTTGTTGTGATGCTGAGAGGGTGGTTTTTGACAGATGGTTGTTGTGAGATGGTTGTGGATGGTTGTTGTGATGCTGGGAGGGTGGTTTTTGACAGATGGTTGTTGTGAGATGGTTGTGGATGGTGGTTGTGATGCTGGGAGGGTGGTTTTTGACAGATGGCTGTTGTGAGTTGGTTGTGGATGGTTGTTGTGATGCTGGGAGGTGGTTTTTGACAGATGGCTGTTGTGAGATGGTTGTGTGGATGGTTGTTGTGATGCTGGGGAGGGTGGTTTTTGACAGATGGTTGTTGTGAGATGGTTGTGGATGGTTGTTGTGATGCTGAGAGGGTGGTTTTTGACAGATGGTTGTTGTGATACTGGGAGGGTGGTTTTTGACAGATGGTTGTTGTGAGATGGTTGTGCTGTTGTGAGATGGTTGTGTTGTTGTGAGTTGGTTGTGTTAGTTTAGTTGTGAAATGCTTTATGTAGTGAGTACAGTTTGAATACATAAAAAATGTACAGATTTTTTTTTAGAATTTGACAAAACTAATTAGTTGTTGTGACGAAACGTACGAATATCAATATTGGAAAATGAGTTGAAAATGACGATAAAATGAGTTGTAAGTGACGATAAGAGAGTTGTAAATGACGATAAAATAATGTGAATTGTAAATGACGATAAAAAAACTGCTGGGCTGAAGTAAATGGCGATTGTAAAAAAAATATATTATTAAAAATGTAAATAACTTGGGGAAAAAAACGTAAACTTGAAAAAACTCGTGATTTGTAAATATGGATAAGGTGTAAATATAACTAATCAAAATTGTAAATAAAGTTTGTAAAATAATAAGAAATAAGGTATTGAGGGATAATGTATCTAAGACTTATTTATTTGTTGATAGATTAGTAGCATAATGAGTTAGATGACCTAGATTAATATTAGATACATATACTGTACACATTAATTTCATCCAAAGATTAATCACCCTAGCGCTATTGGGTTAGGTTAGGTTTATGTTGTGGATTGATTATGTAAAATATAGTGTTAGTATTTGTTAATATTGGGATGATAATAGGAAAAATTTGATCGTTTCTCCTGTTATAAAACAGGAGGAACACAAGGGCCAGGAGGGAACACAAGGGGCCAGGGAGGGAACACAAGGGGCCAGGAGGGAACACAAGGGGCCAGGAGGAACATAAGGGGCCAGGAGGAACACAAGGGGCGGGAGGAACACAAGGGGCCAGGAGGAGCACAAGGGGCCAGGAGCACAGGGGGCCAGGAGGGCACAAGGGGCCAGGAGGGAGCACAAGGGGCCAGGAGGGAGCACAAGGGGCCAGGAGGAGCACAAGGGGCCAGGAGGGGCACAAGGGGCCAGGAGGAGCACAAGGGGCCAGGAGGGCACAAGGGGGCCAGGAGGAGCACAAGGGGCCAGGAGGAGCACAAGGGGCCAGGAGGGCCAAGGGGCCAGGAGGGGCACAAGGGGCCAGGAGGAGCACAAGGGGCCAGGAGGGGGAGCACAAAGGGGCCAGGAGGAGCACAAGGGGCCAGGAGGAGCACAAGGGGCCAGGAGGAGCACAAGGGGCGGGAGGGAGCACAAAGGGGCCAGGAGGAGCACAAGGGGCCAGGAGGGCACAAGGGGCCAGGAGGGAACCTGAGGGGCCAGGAGGAACACAAGGGGCCAGGAGGAACACAAGGGGCCAGGAGGAACACAAGGGGCCAGGAGGAACACAAGGGGCCAGGAGGAACACAAGGCCAGGAGGAACACAAGGAGCCAGGAGGAACACAAGGGCCAGGAACACAAGGGCCAGGAGGAACACAAGGGGCCAGGAGGAACACAAGGGGCAGGAGGGCACAAGGGGCCAGGAGGGAGCACAAGGGGCCAGGAGGCACAAGGGGCCAGGAGGGCACAAGGGGCCAGGAGGGCACAAGGGCCAGGAGGGCACAGGGGCCAGGAGGGCACAAGGGGCCAGGAGGAGGGCACAAGGGGCAGGAGGGCACAAGGGGCCAGGAGGAGCACAAGGGGCCAGGAGGGCACAGGGGCCAGGAGGAGCACAAGGGGCCAGGAGGAGCACAAGGGGCCAGGAGGGCACAAGGGGCCAGGAGGAGGGCACAGGGGCCAGGAGGAACACAAGGGCCAGGAGGAACACAAGGGGCCAGGAGGAACACAAGGGGCCAGGAGGAACACAAGGGGCCAGGAGGAACACAAAGGGGCCAGGAGGAACACAAGGGCCAGGAGGAACACAAGGGGCCAGAAGGAACACACACACACAGGGCCAGAAGGAACACACACACACGGGGCAGAAGGAACACACACACACACGGGGCCAGAAGGAACACACACACACAGGGGCCAGAAGGAACACACACACACACAGGGGCCAGAAGGAACACACACACACACACAGGGGCCAGAAAGACACACACACAGGGCCAGAAGAACACACACACAGGGCCAGAAGGAACACACACACACACGGGGCCAGAAGGAACACACACACACACGGGGCCAGAAGGAACACACACACACGGGGCAGAAGGAACACACACACGGGGCCAGAAGGAACACACACGGGCCAGAGGAACACACACGGGGCAGAAGGAACACACACACAGGGCCAGAAGGAACACACACACACACGGGCCAGAAGGAACACACACACACACAGGGCCAGAAGGAACACACACACACAGGGGCCAGAAGAACACACACACACACGGGGGCCAGAAGGAACACACACACACGGGGCCAGAAGGAACACACACACACACAGACAGAAGGAACACACACACACACGGGCCAGAAGAACACACACACACACGGGCCAGAAGGAACACACACACACGGGGCCAGAAGGAACACACACACGGGGCAGACACACACGGAGAAGGAACACACACACAGGGGCCAGAAGGAACACACACACACAGGGGCCAGAAGGAACACACACACACACAGGGGCCAGAAGGAACACACACACACACACACAGGGCAGAAGGAACACACACACACGGGGCCAGAAGGAACACACACACACAGGGGCCAGAAGGAACACACACACACGGGGCCAGAAGGAACACACACGGGGCAGAAGAACACACACACACGGGGCCAGAAGGAACACACACACACGGGGCAGAAGGAACACACACACACAGGGGCCAGAAGGAACACACACACACAGGGGCCAGAAGGAACACACACAGGGAAAGGAACACACACACAGGGCAGAACACACACACACACGGGGCCAGAAGGAACACACACACACAGGGGCCAGAAGGAACACACACACGGGCCAGAAGGAACACACACACGGGGCCAGGAACACACACAGGGCCAGAAGGAACACACACGGGGCCAGAAGGAACACACACACGGGGGCAGAAGGAACACACACAGGGCCAGAAGAACACACACACGGGGCCAGAAGAACACAAAGGGCCAGAAGGAACACACACACGGGGCGGACACACACGAGGCCAGAAGGAACACACACGGGGCCAGAAGGAACACACACACAGGGGCCAGAAGGAACACACACAGGGCCAGAAGGAACACACACAGGACCAGAAGGAACACACACACACGGGGCCAGAAGGAACACACACGGGGCCAGAAGGAACACACACACGGGACAGAAGGAACACACACACGGGGCCAGAAGGAACACACACGGGTCAGGGAGAATTCACGAGTTAGGTAAGGCTAAAATAAACTAGGTTAGGGTAGTTAGACTCGGCATGTTAGTTCTCCTCACAAGAAGTAGTATTATGGAGTGGATGAACTCGTTAAGAATTGTTTATCCAAGTTAAATGATAATGAGGCTTCCTGTCTGTCTGTTTCTGTCTGTCGGTCTGTCTGTCGGTCTGTCTGTTATTTGCCTGTCGGTCTGTTTGTCTTATATTTTACATTAAATTATTATATTAATTTTTTTCTCTTGTAATGGTCATAGTATAATTGTGTGAGGTTGGTTTTTGGTTAGGTTAGGTTAACTAGTGATGGGGAATGGGTAGTTACTGCTAGGAAGCCTCCATATAACGGACTACCATATAACGAACTACCATATAACGAACTACCATATAACGGACTCCCATATAACGGACTCCCATATAACGGACTCCCATATAACGGACTCCCATATAACGGACTCCCATATAACGGACTCCCATATAACGGACTCCCATATAACGGACTCCCATATAACGGACTCCCATATAACGAACTACCATATAACGGACTCCCATATAACGAACTACCCCCCCTCTCATATAGTCTGTTAGGAGATTTCATATATAGCGAACTAAGCCTTTCATATAGTTCCTTAAATAGAGGTTTTACTGTATCTGGTGACCTGACCCTATACTGAGGTCAATGTTACACACACACAGTTACACACACACACACACACACACACACACACACATGAGGCCTCATAACACCATCTGTGAGGTACTACACCACGTGAGGCCCGCATAACACCATCTGTGGGGAACTACTACACCACGTGAGGCCTCACAACACCATCTGTGAGGTATTACACACCACGTGAGCCCCTCATAACACCATCTTGAGGGAACTACTACACCACGTGAGGCCCTCATAACACCATCTGTGAGGAACTACTACACCACGTGGTCCTCCTAACACCATCTGGGAGAGGTTACTACTACAGTTTGCTGTTCACACCTACATTAATCTGTATGTTCACTGTATGTTTCTACTTCTCTAATGAAGGCTTTGTTAAACCACCAATGTATGTAATAAGTCATTTATGTCCAATGTATATTTTTCCCTTCAGGCTGCAGAACTTTCAATAAACCGTCAATTATTATTGTTTTTGTGTACAGACACACACACAAGTTACAGACATACACACACACACACAGTTACAGACATACACACACAGTTACAGACACACACACACACAGTTCAGACACACACACACACACACACACACACAGTTAGACATACATACAGTTATACACACACACACACAGTTAGACATACATACACAGTTATACACACACACAGTTACAGATATACACACACACACACACACACACACACACACACACACACTTATGTGTGTAGAAGAGTCTGTTGGTGGCCAGTGGGTGTATGATGTATACTAACAAGTTATACAGTCTACTGCCATCCAGCTGCCGGTCGTCTTCATACAAGGAGGAGGGGAGGGAGGGGGGGGTCGTACTTGGGTGAGTGCCAGAAGGTAAGGTTGACGCCCCTGGATCTCTCACAGTGCCTCAAGGGCCAGGTCGACAGAGGCACTTGAAAACACCTCCGCTTACCTCTATACCTGTGGTTGGGGTGTGGTGTGGTGGGATATGGTGTGGTTGGGGTGTGGTGGGATATGGTGTGGTGGGATATGGTGTGGTTGGGGTGTGGTGGGATGAGTGTTATCTTTGGTAACGAGAGAGAGAGAGAGAGTGAAGAGAGAGAGAGAGAGAGAGAGAGAGCCCCGTCCATTCCTTAATCAATCATTTATATTCTTTCACTTTATCAATACAATACATTACTCTCCCTCTCTCTCATTTATTCCTCCTCCTTCTCCCCCCTTTTATCTCTTTTACTCTTATTTTAAACTGATTTTCCTGTTTTTGTTGATTTTTATTTGTATGGATTTTGGTCTACTGTCTGTCTTGTCTCCCCCATCATCACCTGTCATCTGGGTGCGTCATCTCATCGTCTCCTCTATTTATAGCCCACCATCACCTCCCCTCTAGACCCCGCCCACCCCTAGCCCCGCCCTCCAACTTAACATCCAATCACCTTTCTTGAGACAGTAACACTAGCCAATCAGGTCCCTGGAGACTGTCACACCTCCCTCCTCCTCCATTCACAGTTACCTTGACTTGGCTCTTAGTGGTAATGTCAGCCCCTAGCTTGTTTTACCTGAAGATTAGTCCCTGCTTATTTTACCTGAAGATTAGTCCCTGCTTGTTTTACCTGAAGATTAGTCCCCAAGCTTATTTTATCTGAAGATTAGTCCCTGCTTATTTTACCTGAAGATTAAATACCCTATTGCTACCTGGGAAGTCTTGGTCAGCTTTAAGTTAGGTTTGGTTAGATTAGAAGGGGTTAGGTTTGGTTTTGGGTTAGGTTTGGTTAGGTTAGATTAGGTTATGTTGGAGATGATGTTTGTTTGTTTTTCACACACACACACACACACACACACATTAACCCATTGAGGTGTTCATTGTTTTGTTGATATCCTAACCAGGCTGTAACGTAATTTCTAGGCTGCTGTTTCCGTTCTGATAGCACCTCCTCGGAGTCTGGCGTCGAAACATCTTGCACTTGGTCCCATCCCACCAGAGGAGTGAAGCTGCTCTGGTCCATGTTCTGAATTCTCTCCCCATATGCCTTTATCTTGTCGTTCTCGTTCCTCCTGTGTGCAGCATCGAGAGCTAGGTTACGGTGAGCCATGGGGTTGAATATCCTTATGTCAAAGAAGGCTTGCTGTCCCCGCGTCCAGAATCCTCGAGTACTGACGTCAACAACAACAACCTCTACATTACAAAAAAAAAAAACACTACTACTACTACTTTTTTTTTTTTTTTTTTTAACGTGGCCTCCAGCCTCCCCAATAGCCACACCTCGCCACCA